GAACGCCCTAAACAAGATTATCTTAAAACCGGGAACACCCTAATCTGCCTTGGTCCTTGAGCAAGGTTAAGTACATTCAATGTCACTGCAACATGGGGTATGCTGGCAAGGAAATTGTCATACTTACTTGGCTAATGGCTCCCAGCATCTCCCCCCTTCTGATTAATTAAACAACAAGCAATGTGGCTTAAGGACCGTGCCTGGTAGGTTGTCCAATTCAACATATGGTTCTTACCCGTCATCGGAAAACTGACCTTTAGGCGTCAGCCTCCTGTCTTAGGTTGATACCACTGCAATTGAATCATACCCGTCACTGACTACCGGTCCAGCATACAGCCATACTTGTGGATAGGTCTATGCACCAGTGGGGGGGTGAGGTTCTTTGCCTCACCTCTGTTGGCCCCCAAATTTGGCCTTGGTGCCAGTGGGGGAGTGAGGTTAATGTGGCATATGGACCGTGCCTGGTAGGTTGTCCAATTCAACATATGGTTCTTACCCGTCATCGGAAAACTGACCTTTAGGCGTCAGCCTCCTGTCTTAGGTTGATACCACTGCAATTGGATCATACCCGTCACTGACTACCGGTCCAGCATAAGCCATTGGCCCCCAAATTTTAGACCATCACTAGCAGAAGGGAGGAGGATACAGAAATGCCACGACACCAAGCCAATTGATGGCTCCTTGGGAAAAATTGCATCACTGGTGACACCATCAGCAAAGATATGCCAGCATTACCACAATTCGCTGCACCAAACGATAGTTACATAGTCCAGGCAAGTTCTGCAAGCAGTTCAAAGCGGAGGAATCTATCAATATGTCCATTTCCTCCCAAAATCCGTTTCCTCCCAAAGTAAGTTAACTCCTTGATTGAGCATTACTTGTTGAGTTCTTCACCGGCACTGGGATGGAGATAGGAATTCTGGCAATGATGCTAAAGAGACATTATCCTGAAAAGAATTATTAAATATAATGAAAAGGAAAGGTGAAAGTAAACAAACAGATCTGTTAACCTACTTTAAAAACAATCCTTAACAGCTTTTTACCTAATTTAAATTAGTAAACAAACAGATCTGTTAACCACCTTTAAAAACAATCCTTAACAGCTGTTTACATAATTTAAATTAAACCATTTAAATCACGTGAATAAAAAAAATAATAATAATTCGGATCCATTTTTTCATGAGCGCTCCTCATATAAGAAATATGGACATACGCACATACAGACATACAACACAAAACACAAGAGTGTACACAAACGTACAACACATAAGAAAATAGTAAAGGCCTTGTAGCTTTACCTAGGTGAAATCTCCATTGCAATGTTTAAAAACTCCACAGTCAAAAAATAAAACTGATCAGAAAAACACTAACCTAGGTTTGTATGAGCTCAAAAAATAAAAATAGAACCTTATGATGTGGAAAAATGCAATAATAAAATAGCTATTGAAAAAAGCATCCTGGTTAATCACTGTCGCAGATGTAAGAATGGCCAAGCTGGAGTTCTGGATATCAGCTGTTATGGATTTGAGTCAAATCATCTTCTTTTCGATCTGTAGAAACTGTTTTAGTTAATCTCTCTGGAATCCAAATGGGCTGCTGTTCTCCCTGTGGAAAAACACAAACAGACCCCCGACTCCAGACAATCACTGGGTCAGGACCTTTCCATTGTCCTGTTAGAATATCTTTCCAAAGTACTTTAGGCTTATGTACATTTTTTGGATACATATGCCTTTCCGCAGCACTAAGTCCTGATGAATCCAAATTTAAAAAGTTTAGAGTAAAAAGCGTTATTTTAAGTTTATCTTTGGGGGATATATACCCCTTTCAAATTCCCTCTTTTTGCTTTAATAAGTATATGTCTGTATCTAATAGTTGTCTAGCTTTTTGCATTTTTCTATCTGAAATACCTTACTTGACATTTTCAACCATTTTTTATCTTATTTCTATCTTCCAGTTTTTTTTTCCCCCTAAGGTTTGTATTTTTACCCTTAGTTGCTTATTTTCCTCCTAGTTTTTTTTTTTCTTCCTATTTTGTGGGTTTAAAATTCTTGTCTTCCTACATTTTTTATCTTTCTACATCTTCTTTATCTTTATTCTTTTTAACTTTCTATACTTCTGTCTTTAAAGTTTTTCACTTTAAATTTTTAATCTTCTTTATCTAAATATCTTTTATCCTATTATCTTCCCATTTTTTTTTAAGTAATGCCTTTAAGATTAACTAGGCTTCGAATGATGCAATAAAGCAATCTTTTTTCCGCCATGAAGGTATCTCAACCACCTTCAATTTAACCTTTTAAAGCCTTTTAATTATCATCTATACTGTACTTTTAAATGTACTTTTTCACCACCTACAACTTCACTCTTTGAAACGAGGCTTAGATTCTGTTTAAATCACTTCAATGTTAGTTTACATGGCTGCCCTTCAACCAAAGGCTTTTTTTTTTTTAACTCCATTGAGAAGCTTTGTCTCAATCTGCCATGTACAAATATCTTTTTCTTCTTTCTTCCTTTCTCAAGCTTTTAAAGTAAGTCTAGTTTCCTCAAAATCTTTTTAAGTGGCATTTTACAACTTTTTACTTTACCACACAGAGATTATCTCATCTAAAAACATTTTTTTCCTTTAACCTTATATATTAAAATATATTTCCACATCTTGAATCTTTTTCTATCTCTTTTTAACCGTTAACCCTTTATATAAATTCGCATTTTGAAACAACTCTTATAAAATTTCTGATTTAGACAAATTACTCCACTTTAATAAGATGAAAGACTTTCATGTTTTTTATGATACTATAATACTATAATTGAAACCCAACTGAAAATTTTTCTACTCTTTGTATATAAATTACACGATAGAATCTTAACTCTTAGTAACCTTGTTTTAGCAAAGACACAGACACAAAGCAATATTAAACCTTTTTCCATTTACCAATTTATGAAAACACACATAATATTTAAATATATTACCTTATGGAAATTAATAAGTAAAGAGTACTTGATTTCATATTTAGTGGTTGATATTTTAACACTTTAGCTTTGTAAATTAATCAGATGTCTGTAAAAACAAAGATCTTAGACAAATGTAGTAAACAGAACTAGCCATCTCTTTCTTGAAGAAAAATCCTTCTACAGGATACCATGATGGTCCCATTGATATACTTAATAACTCATCTTTAAAAAGCCATGGGCTACATTTTTGTATTGTATCAACATATGTCCTAACTGTTCTTGGTCTTACTGGGGTGCCTCTTTCCTCTAACAATTTTTCTTCCTCGGAGGCGAACAACTTCAAACCTTGAGTCAACCATTTCCCCCAGTTTGCCTGAGAAAGTTCTAGGAACAGGCAACTTGAAATAAAAACAAAATAAATCAAAACGATAACACATTGTTTTTTGAAATGTTCACCCATTCTTTCTCTCTTCCTCAAGGGTGAGAAATTTCACTTACCTCTAAGCTTCAGAAGTCCCCCGTACGGGCCACCAAATGCCGCAGTCTGGCTGGGCACAAATGCCGTCTGGCTGGGCACAAATGCCGCAGTCTGGCTGGGCACACAATCACGAGCCACCACACAGCTTGTAGATTCAAACAGCAACTCTTTATTCCCGAACTCACACCAGCCATCTACAATCACGTTCTGGGGAAATCCACGTTCTCTTCCCAAATCCACCTTCTCTCCCAAATTCACCTCCACTGGGCTTCTATCTCCAAAATATACTGTCTGAATCCCGTGAGAACTCAAGGGGAACTCAGGCAGCAGGATACGCCCTATTCCCAGCAGGAATAATCTTAAACCTTAAACCTGGAACCTAAACTGGGAACGCCCTAAACAAGATTATCTTAAAACCGGGAACACCCTAATCTGCCTTGGTCCTTGAGCAAGGTTAAGTACATTCAATGTCACTGCAACATGGGGTATGCTGGCAAGGAAATTGTCATACTTACTTGGCTAATGGCTCCCAGCATCCATCTATATTCAATACCCAGGTCCTTAGCCACTGTTATTCTGGTTGTATTTAGTCTAAGTGAGTAGAGAGGCCACTGAGATACACCAGAGAAGAAAAGTCAGCTTGAAAATTGTGCTTTTTAAGCCAGGAACAGTGTCACGTGCCCATAAACCCACCTACTCAGAAGGCTGAGGCAAGAGAATTGCAAGTTCAGCAACTTAGCAAGGCCCTGCATCAAAATAAAAAGGGCTAAGGTTGTAGCTCGTTGGTAGCGCACTTGCCAACCTGACAGGAGGCCTGTGCTCCTTCCTCAGTACTGTGAAAACAAAGAAAGTCAGCTTTAAAACAATTTCTTGGCTCATAGAATCAGCTTTAAACAACAGCCCAATATCACCTTCTTTAGGAACAATCTATTCTCTTTTCTCCCTTCAGGGTTTTTTTGATGCTGGGTCTTTGATACTGTTGGAGATACCAGTCCCTCATTTCTTCCAGGACTATTCTAAAGTAGTTGTGATGACAGCAATTAAGAGTGGGGCGGGGCGGGGGGGCGGGTATCTGGGGATGGGGTTGGGATTGTGGCTCAGTGGTAGAGCACTCACTTAGCTTGCATGAGGCACTGGGTTCGATTCTCAGCACCGCATAAAGATAAATAAATAAAGATATTGTGTCCATCTACAACTAAAACATTTTTTAAAAAATAGTAACGATGTCAGTCAGGAGTGAACTGAGTCTAAAACTGCTGACTGACACTGTTTATTTCCCTTTAACCGAATTCAAATGATTCAGTCCTCTCCCCCTCTCCCCAGTCAAGTTCACAGCTATGTGAATTGCGTGATCATGTGCACTCACCCACCACCGTCTATGCTTCTGTGAGGTGGGGTTGTGTAAGACTCCCCTTCTTCATATTTCAAGCAGCTCGTGCTGCTAGTGGTCACACCTGTGTGTTTTGGGAAAGACTGGAAATTCCTAGAGGTTTTTCACTGGTTGGATCGGGGAGCTTCCGCAGGCAGAGGGGGCTCTGTGTCAGCAGCCACCACAGGATGCCCATTGTTGCAGGTTAATGGGGTTGACCTGAGGACCTCCAGCCATGAGGAAGCCATCACAGCCCTGAGGCAGACCCCGCAGAAGGTGCGACTGGTGGTGTACCGCGATGAGGCACACTACAGGGACGAGGAGAACTTGGAGATCTTCCCTGTGGATCTGCAGAAGAAGGCCGGCCGAGGACTGGGCCTGAGCATTGTTGGGAAACGGTAAGGACTACTGTGCAGGTCAGCACTGACCTTTCCCTTCACACCTCTAGAACTAATGCCTATGGACACTGAAGGATAAAGTCTGACGTAAAGTAATTATGGGATTTCTAAACTAAGATGCTTGTAGCCAGGCACGATGGCCCATGCCTGTAATCCCAGTAACTCAGGAGGCTGAGGCAGGAGGATCACAAGTTCTAGGCCGGATTGAACAATGTAACAAGACCTTGTATCAAAATAAAAAATGAAAAAGGAGTGGGGATATAGCTCAATAGTAGAGCTTACCTGGTTCAATCCCCAATACCAAAAAATCAAAATAAAACTAAAATAATTACGAATATGTAAACTTCATTGGTCATACCTCCAAACATCTTACCAAAAAAGAAAACTTACCATATCAAGATAGAACTCCAAATCCAAACAACCCAATCTATTTTATTTCCTTCTAGAGTAAAAACAGCTAGCAAGGTCTTTTCTACTTGGAATACCTAGGGAGGAGGCTTGTAGAGAGTAGTTAATACAACTATATCCAGAAAACAGCTCATGTTAAGAGGTTGATTCATACAATATTAGATTAAGAAAATTGATCTGGCATGGAGCATCATGATAATTTCATACTGTGTTAAACTAGTTGGTAGACATAGTTGAGTGGCAAGCATGATAGTAGTTTTCTTTTCAGAAAGATGTCCCCAGATGTGATGGCTTACACGTATAACCCTAGCTACTTGTGAGGCTGTGGGAAAAAAATCCCAAATTAGAGGCCAACGTCAGCAAATTGACCATGTCTCAAAATAAAAAGGGTTAGGGATATAGTTGGATGATAGAGAGCAATCCCTAATGCCATTAGAAAAGATAGGAAGGCAGGGAGGGAGGAAGGGAAAAGAAAGGAAAGATGTCCCCAAAATAATAGTTTGCACCAAAAATACAGATGGATCCTGGTGGCTAGGTTGCTCCAAGTCTGTACTGCTTAACAATGTGATAGGAATTAGAGTAATTGTTCCAGGATGACATTAGGAAGTTTCTCTTACACTGAATTGGAAAGGAAAGTAATATCACAAAACTGTCATCCTAGCTTCCATGGTTTACTGGTTTGGGTAACTAGCCTGCAAAAATTCTAGGTGATATGCCTGTATGGCCTTAGATTGCCTTGAACATCGTCATGGGAAGAATTTAAGTCCATGTTATAGATGTCATGGCATGTGCCCTCAAAGACCTCTGGTGACTCTCATGCCTTTATGCAGCAGTCCAGTACGCAGCAGTATTAGCTGTCCCCACACCCTTTTTTTTTTTTTTTTTTTTTGGTACTGGGATTGAACCCAGGGGCACTTAAGCACTGAGCCACATCCCCAGCCCTTTTTATGTTGTATTTTTATTTTGTTTTGGAAACAGTGTCTTGCTAAGTCGCCCAGGCTGGCTTTTGACCTCATGAGCCTCCTTTCTCATTCTCCTGAGTTGCTGGAGTTACAGATGTACACCACCACACCCAGCCATTCCCCATTTTTGAGTACTGTGCTGTCATGATACCATGACATTTTTACTTCAGCACAATAAAACCATCACTCTGAAAATGCATTTCAAAACAAAAATGCTTAATCTCTTACATTACTAAACAAAAAGCAATGCACATGTGGGTGCAGAGCAACTGACAGAGAAATATTGAAGTTTGCTTTCTTGTCCTGAGACATACACATACCAGGGGAGTTTCCATTTAGAGTAATGACTTTGCTTTATTATCATGTGGTAGATTGATGAAATAATCATCTTCATACAGCATCATCATTTCACCTTGAATTTGTAAGAAGATTTATATTTCTTAGTACAAAAACTTGAATTGTAAAGAATCAGATGTATCTCTCTCAAAATTCAGTTCCCTTTCACTAACAATTTCATGCCTTGGAGTTTATCTTAATATCCTTGCAGGTATTTATTGCGCATTGTTTGCAGTAGCTAAAGAGTGGAAATAACCCATTTGTCCATTATGGAACGCCTACAGAATAGTATGTAGCCACAGAACAATGAGGAAGCTCCAAGTGTAATAAAGATCAGTTGAAGCAGGGGTTGTAGCTCAGTGGTAAAGCAGATGCTTAACAGGTATGAGGTCCTGGGTTTAATCTTTAAAACACACACACACACACACACACACACACACACACAATTGCCAAGCTGTATTATTAAGTGAAAGAAAAAAAAGAAATCTGTGTATGGTCACTCATATATACTTATGTACTCTGCATGGGCATTTTGCTTATGTGTAAACAAAATATTCCTTTTACCTACCCAAGAAACAGGTAATGTGGGTTGCCTCTGAGAAAGGAACTTGGTAACAGAAGTGAGAGGAAAACTAAAGGTGTATACTTTTTAACCTGTCGAATTTTGAGATATAAATTTGTGTATTCATCAAATACATGTTATTAGGTCTTTAAAAATAAAGGCAAGAAAAAAGTGAGAAGACTAGAACTAGATCAAATAGAATATATCAAATGTTAGCTTATCTTCTCTAGAGAAATAACCTGTTGGTTTTAAGAGTACTTATCTCCATCTTTTAAAGTAAATTTCCATTTCACTCCACTAAAATTTTCACCTTGCAAAAAAGTATGTCCTTGGACCAATAAAAATTAATATGCAGGAGGCAGAATAAATGAGCATAAACTAAAGAGTGGCATGCTGCAGTTTATTATTTGGGAAGTAAGTGGAAGCATTGGCTTTGATCGTTTGATAGGGCCCTTCTGCCAAATTTTAGGATTTAGTGCATCTATATAGAAAGTTAACCAACTCAGTTTTTAACTAAGAAGTATGAGGTTTGCCTGTAACCCCACCACTTAATGGTATTAACAGAAATGGAAGCGGAGTGTTTATTTCTGACATCGTGAAAGGTGGAGCTGCAGACCTGGATGGGAGGTTGATTCAGGGAGATCAGATCCTATCTGTGAATGGAGAGGACATGAGAAATGCCTCTCAGGAGACGGTGGCCACCGTACTCAAGGTGAGTCCCTGGGCTGCCATGCCTGATTTTTCTGTCCTCTTCACCTCATTTTTCTGAATGATTTCTCTGTCCATGAGTACTTTCATCAGAAGGGAGAAAGAAAAGAGGTGAATTAGAATCTGGTCCTTTCTGTGCATGTGGGAAGCCATGATGTGAATGCCACTGTGTCTAGAGCTGTCACTCTGCTAGGCTTTTGGGTGATGGTGTCTCGGTTGTGCCTTTTGCCTTCGCAACTCTTTCATGACTCTGGCTGCAGAGATGAGTAGAGGTTCTGCTCTAGTGTTTGAGAACCTGAATGCTACTGCTTTTCATTTCTGTTCCGTTCTTCCCAAGTGTGCACAGGGGCTTGTGCAGCTCGAGATTGGAAGACTCCGAGCCGGTTCCTGGGCCTCCTCGAGGAAGACATCGCCAAACAGTCAGGTGGTCCATGGCTTCGCAGCACACTGCCTCCCTCTCCTGCTCCCGCTGGGGGAAAGTTCCTTATTTCATAAACAATTGTTAGAATAATGTCTAATATTCAGCTTGTTCACAACGCCAAGTGCAGTGTGTTTTCATGTGTTTGAAATAAAAATGAAAGGTGGGATGGAAATTCATTAATCCCTAGATTTTTCTGTCCTTAATTGCCTGCAAATGTTTCTTAGAACCCTTCCTCTCCCTCTATTAGTCTATATTGCCTAGGCACACAGCTGTGTTTACTTAAAAAAAAAAAAAAGGCAACATCTGGTAGCAATTTGACCCTCATTAGCACAACATTGTTCTATTCATTCAATTAAATATTGCTATAAAGTTAACTTGTGAATAGCCCCTCACACATGCTGAGGGCAATTAATGGCATAGTCCTAGGAGAATGAAGTGTGAGGGTTTCTCCCGTGGGAGGGAGGCCTTAGTGGGTGATATTTTGTGGGTTAGCAAACATCTTATGTTTATGTACAAGGCTGATGTAAGTGCCACTTTCTTTAAACAAAGTATATTTCACTGTATTTTTTTCTGTATACAATCAAGATTGCAGACTGCATGTTTAGTCCCATTGATACAAAGTGCAGCCATACAAACTTGCATGTGTGCCCTTGGTCTCCTTGTGTACAGGCCTTTGTTTTGAAGTTAAAAACATGGCTTTTAGTCCCTCCCTGGTCACCTTTGACACAGAGCCTCTCCCAGACCTTTGTTCAGAAGATGTTCTGATTTTGTTAGCACAACAGGTGCTTCCCCAAGGATATTAGCTAAATTTATTGCTGTCCCAAAATGGACATGGAAAAATATTGTTCAGATGGGCTCACAGACAGGCTGGCCTGTCATTTCTGGCATACATAATGGGCAGCAAATATAGGAAGAAAGACATGGTGCTGCTGTGGAATCCCATGGGTGACTAGTTGGTGATGGTTCTGACCATACCTGTATAGACAGTGGGCACTGAGGGTGCAAGTAGTTGTCTCAGGCCTCTCCCTGAATGGAAGACTCATGTTTGTTGAATGATTTCATTAAAGCCTCATTGTACACAGGAGACTAAAACGCAGAATGAACCACTCTGGAAATGAGATTTTTCTTCTTGCCAGATTATGAGAGAGAGCTATTGAGGAGGTTCCACTGGGTATCACTTCTAAAGGAGTTTGAGGGGAAAAAGATTGCAACCTAGACAGAGTAGTATGCAAAGGCCCACTGAGGTAAGGGGAGGTTGTGTGTTTTAAGAGAAATTTGGAATGACAGCTGGGATGGTAGGAAGAGCTAGATTTCTGACTTTCTTGAGGAAAATATGTGAGCATCATCATAATTGATATATAAGTTATCAGATTTGAAAACCTGGGACAAAGTGTCAAATACATTTTTTTTCTTTCTTTCTTTTTTTTTGTTTTTTTTTGCAAGGGAGGGGGGCAGTAGTCCTGGGGATTGAACTCAAGGTCTTGCGTTTGCTAGACAAGCACTCTACCACTGAGCTACATCCCAGCCCTCAAATGCTTCTCCCTAACTTTCTTGCACAGAATTTTTAGTTTAGGGGATAGAAATTTAATTCAGTGTTTTTAAAAGTGTATTTTGTCATCACCTTGTCCTTATAATTATGGGTGAAATATATGAGAATCCACCCTGTTTGTAGGATTGTAGTTGACTGTGAAAAGGAAATGTTTTCCATTATCATGAGTCAAAGCCCATGACCCTGATGGAGAAAAAGAGAATTCCATTCCCAAACGTGTTCAGTTCCAGACCTATTGAAAGCAGTCAGGACCTTCCAGGGGCACAGCTTTCCTTCTGAGCAATTATAAGGTAGAGAGAAAGATGCCACCTGTTGGGGATTAAGGAGAATGGTAACTCCATAACTCGTGATTTGATCCATAGAAAGTGGGCTTCTCAGGAGAGAGCTTGTAGCCTTGGGGCCACTGACACTCTTTAAAAATGGGTTTTTCTGCCAAGCAGGAGGAAGTATCTCAACTCTAAAGAGGAAAGTATGTATTAAGAAAAATCTTGTTGAGATAATCAGAGAAATCCTTTCCTCATGTAACTGAGGGAACACAGCCAGACAAGTCCAAATTAATAAAGGCCTTGGCAAATACATTATTCTGAGATTGTTTTGGGGCAGAAGTTACAATGTGTTGTACTTCCTTAATGTATCCATCCTCAAGTGTGCTAATATCTACAACTTACATTGAAATGAATTTTTAAAAACAAAGGAGTCATCTGGGTGAAGTGGCACATGCCTGTAATTCCAGCGGCTAGGGAGGATGAGACAGGAGGATAACGCATTCAAAGCCAGCCTCAGCAACAACGAGGCGCTAAGCAACTCAGTGAGACCCTGTCTCTAAATAAAATACAAAATAGGGCCGGGTTTGTGGCTCAGTGGATGAGTGCCCTTGAGTTCAATCTCTGGTACAAACAAACAAAAAATAGATGAGTCAATTGATGAATAGATGATGTGAAATAAAGAAAATATAGCTGGTGCAATAGCCTGGATGCCTGGACAACTTAGCAAGACCTTGTCTCAAAAGTAAAAAATGAAAAGGGCTAGAGATGTTAGCTCAGAGGTAGACTGTCCTTGGGTTCAATCCCAGTACCACCACCACCAAAAAAAAGGGGGGGGGGGGGCTTGGGGAGAGAAAATATAGCAATTTTTCAATTATGGAATCTAGGTAATATGGTTATGGATATCTGTAACTCTTCCAATCTTTTGATGTATTTGAAATTTTTCATACTTAAGAAATGTTAAGATATTAAACATCTTGTACCATAGAGTTAAAGAAATGAATCAGATTATAATGTATCAATTGATAATAGTTATTTTAGGCTTATCTTAAAATGTCAATGCAGTTAGACATGGTTTTCGATAATTTGGTACGGAAAATATTCATTATTAATGAAATAGTTTATGTTAGAGAGGGTCTTCACTATGTTTTGAATTTTTATTAAGAGTCATTAGCCATAAATGACTATGCATTGTAGACCTCAAATATTTATTTAAATGACTAAAAGTTCAGGTAACATAGTTACAGCAGATTAGATTAAATTACTGTTGACTCTAGGAAATTTTTTGAGAAAAAAGTAACATATACCTAAAATAAACCTTTTTCCCTTTGTATTTGCTGCTTTCTCCTACAATCAAGGGCTCCATGTGGTCAAATGTTTGTTAATTGAGATTTTTATCATAGTTGTTTTAGCAAAATACATAAGACAGTTTGGGTAATCTGAGAATACATGCTGATTGTAGCCACAAATGACACATTAGCTGGCCATTATAAACACTATGTGGCAACCAAGGAAAATGTTCTTGATTTTATGTGGAATAAGGGGAGCTCAAATGATTGCAGTTTTTCTCACCTGATTGAAATCACATATAAAAGTACATATAATAGAGGAAACAGTGGAGGAAAGGTTCAGATGGGACTGGGCTTTAGTGGTGAAAGACTGGGTATGAATATTTTAGTTGTCTGTCTTGGCCTCTTCAGAATTCTGTTTCATGGCTCTGATGACTTCAGCAACAGGCTCACTAATGATAAGCATGAATTGTCAGGGTCAAATCAGCGTCTGCCCTCAGAGACCACTGGTTCTCCTTTTTAGGGGGATCTGCACGGCACACACATCAGCTGTCGGCCTTCCTTGGCCCCTGTCATTGCTGGCCTACAGAACCTGGTTGGCACCAAAAGAACTCCAGATCCTTCCCAGAGAAGTTCAGGTATCATGTGGACACACCACCAGCCGAAACTTCCTGTTACCCAGTTTTTAAAAAAATATTAGGGTTTTAAAAAAATCTTGTCTTTAAATGTAGAATCTGAGTTTGGCCACATAAGCCACCTTTTCAGAAAGGTCTATCCTAGCCAGAGGAGAGCCCTGAAGATTCCTGTTTGGAGTGTGCCCGTAAGAGTACACAGATCACATGAACAACAGAAGCAGAACTAAAGTGCATCAGAAAGCACAGCTATTGGGCTGGAGGTGTAGCTGAATAGTGGGGCACTTACCTAGCATGCACAAGACACTGGGTTCAATCCTTAGTACTGAAATAATGAGGAAAGTGTGTGCAGCTCTTTACAAAGTGAATAATAAATTACAGGTCACTAGGGGGAGGTCAGAAGTACACATGGCCACCTGGACACAGTGGCACATGCCCCAAGCCCTGCAACTTGGAAGGCTAAAGCAGGAGGGTCACAAGTTCAAAGCCAGCCTCAACAACTTAGTGAGACTCTGTGTCAATAAGTAAAAAGGGCAGGGGATGTGGCCCAATGGTATCATGCCCCAGGGTTCAATCCCCAGTACTTGGGGAGGGGCAAAGGAGGGTGCATACTCCACTAGGGACAGAGCAGACACAAGGGTCTTGGTGAGTCTTTCCTTGGGTGGAGGGCTAGCTTTGATTAGGAAAGAAAAGTATACAACAAATCACTCTTGGGGCTCACCTCCCAGCCCTGATCACCCTGCTTCAGGCAGTGCTGCTGCAGTCCAAATGATGATGGCCGCATCTATCTCAAACTGAGAGCACTTCCTTAAAATAAAGGACAGAGCCCTGAGGGCTTGCTGCCAGGCTGAAGTGGAGAGCAGGGAAAGCCTGCAGGCTCCAGCATCCTCTCTTGAAAGGACTAGAAAATGGTGCCATTTTTTGTGGGAGAGTATTATATATCCTAAATGTATTGTCTCTGAATTTTACAAAGTTAATGGTCTTGCTTCTTTATTTATATAGGCACAGATATGGGACCAAGGACTGTTGAGATAATCAGAGTAAGTCATTTATTTCACTGTTTTTAATAATCTCAAGATTAATTCCTCTATGTGAACCTCTTGGATCAAAAGCCATGCTTAGGAGTTGGGGGCGTGGCTCAGTGTTAGAACACTTTCCTAGCAAGCACGAGGTCCTGGATTCAATCCCTAGCATCACCAAAAGAAATGCCATGCTTGTTAATTAGGGTTTTTATGTGTTGCTAAATTGCCCTTTTGAGAAGATTGCATAAGATGCGTCTCAGTTTATAAACTTGTTACACTAGAAAGTAATTAAAAAATTTTGACTGTGTTGTAATCATAATAGTCAACCACAGTAAGGTGATGTCCAGCGTGACTGTTCTCTGGACTCTCTCATATCTCTGTTGAGGAGTGCTATATTTATTCATTTGTCTGTATTTGTTCATGGGGGCTGTTATAACAGAATATCACAGACTGAGTGTCTTCAACAACAGAAATCTATTTTCTCATGGTTCCAGAGGCTGAAAGTCCAAGGTCAAGGTACCAGCAGCTTTGGTTTTTCCCTAGCCTTCTCAGTGACCTCTCTGTCTCATCATCCACCCCCATTTCTCTTCTATGTCCTAACCTCTTCTTTCAGAAAGAAACCATGGAGTCAGCATCCTCATAAAGACAAGGGCCCACCCAACCCCCTCATTTTAAAGACCTCTCCATATACACTCACATTTGGGGGCACTGGTACTTGGGCCTTCAAAATATGAGTCTTAAGGGGAATACAATTTAGTCCATAACATTAACTTTATGATCAACCTCAACTCTCTCATCTATAGAATGGGGTTGATAATACTGACTTCCCTTTAATGCCCATATAGTTGTGTGGACTAAGTGAGGAAATGCGCATGGTATAGTATACCGTGAATGCCCACAAAGTGGCATGTGTTATTATGGTCACTGTTGGACTAAGTCAGTCTTATTTGCTCCCAGTATCTTTTCACCAGAGCAGCGACTCAGATGATCCTATGATGGGGAAGTTAAATGTACCAAAAAGCACATAATTATGGATCAGTTAAGGACACATTACAATGGAGTTAAACCCAAATTATTTTATAAATTTCTCATCATTCCAAGATTTTAAAAACATTTTATATTTCAGTCTTTTGTTTTTACAGGCTTCTCTAATAAGTCCTGCTTACACCACCCCTATTCTCCCACACAGTGTCCAAGCACACATCATAATAAAATGTGTCTTACCATTTGGTACACAAGACTTGACTATGGGCACAATCAGGAAGTACATGTAACACACAGATGCTGTGACAACAGGATGTAAGCTACCTGTGATGAGAGGGCAGCATTGCCATCATCCTGAATTACAGGTGTGACATGGCAGCACTGATATTAATAACAAAGTATAGGGGGCTGGGGTTGTGGCTCAGTGGCAGTACCCTTGCCTAGCATGTGTGAGGCACTGGGTTCAATTCTTAGCACCACATATAAATAAACAAAATAAATATTTTTAAAAGTAAATACTATTTTTTAAAATTTATAATACATATGATGTAAGGTTTGGTTTGGTGAATTTTTGTTTGTTTTTTTGTGCTGAGGATTGAACCCAGGGCCTCATGCACACTAGGCAAGCACTCTGCCATTGAGCCACTCCCCCAGCCCTTTTTATATTTTATTTTGAGACAGCATCTCACCAAATTGAAGAGGTTAGACTAGAACTTGCAGTTCTCCTATCTCAATCTCCCAAGTCACTGGGTTATAGGTGTGTGCCTCTGTACCCAGCTTAATCTGTGTATATATTTAAATGATTAATTTAAACTACAGAAGCCTTGCAGTCATCCAGTCCCTTTTATCACACCACCACTGACATTTAGACCAAATTTATCATATGTTCACATCTTTATAAATTGTTTTGTTTGTATTTTTGTTTTATAGTGCTAGGGATCAAACCCAAGACGTCATGCATGCTAACTATATCTAAATAAACAGAGTTATAGATTTTGCTTTCAGCTGTCCTTTATATTCTAAAGGACATCAAAAGAAAATTGGTCACATTTTTCTGGGTTTTTGCAGATTGACTAATTTAGTATTTTACCCTGAACCTTATGAGTATTACATTGTATGGACGCTAAAGAAAGCTGATGTTTTAGCTATCATAATCTAAGTTCCACCTGGGGATGTGGCTCAGTGGTAGAGCATTTGCCTAACATGTGCAAGGCCTTGAATTCAGTCCCCAGCATGGCAAAACAAAACCCCACAATAATACAGAATGCAAGTTCCATCTCACCTTTTGTAGGTGGTGGTTCAACTCCCAGTTCTGTTCTAGAAACCATGCTATGCCTATCTGTGACCATCCCACATATATGTAGCTTAGAATTGAGCCTGAGAATTTTGTGGGTTTATTTGCAGAATTGGGAATCCCAGCTTTCCAGCTTTTTCCATGCTGGTTTTCCTGCCATATTCTCCAGCCACCTGGAGATCCTTTTCCTTGTTCCTCTAGCCAGAAAAATGAGTTTCTAGAGAACTTCAGCCTTTCACCCCACCTTTTGCACTCCTTGACGGGGAACCACATTCTGGGCAGAGCTTCCAGGAGAATGTTCTCATTCCCCCAAGTTCTCATTCACCACCACAGTTTAATTGGTTTCTTTACATTTCAGAGGCTGCAGGTAGTTTTTCTTTATACTTTTGATAAAGACTTCATTGTAATGAGTAGAAGAGAAATGTGTATGCCACCGTGCCGTAACAGGGACTTGTCATTTGTTCTTCTAGTGATTTGGAAAATATTAATCCTGTGGTACAAATAAGTCTAGAAGCCAAGTCTCTTCCCCAGAGTCCATCTTAGGGAGCACTTTCTGTAACATTTTGCTTCCCTCTCCAAACTGTTGTCACAACAGTGGGTGTCCCCTAAGATCCTTTGTTTTAATGCAACTGCACAGCTCTTCTGGAGCCAAGTGTGTTTGTTCACACCCAGAAGAGCATATGTGTGGCAGTTTAATCATAAACACCATATGAGAGCACACTTGCCAAGGCTGCCTCAGAATTGGCCACTGTACTGAGCAGGTTTTTGTTTGTTTTTAAATTTACTCCCACTGTTGCCTTTTCTTGAGCCTTTTCTGTAGGCCAGAACCGCACTGCACTTAACCCTCAGCCATCGCTGCAGTCTTCTTCCCATTTTGTACGGAGAGGTGGGACTCCTAAGAGAGTGACTTCTCCAAGACCCTGCAGCTAAGCGCTAGAATTGAAATCTCGGTACCTCTGACTCCAAAGGCCCCGTGCTTAACTCACATGTTCTCCTGGCCTCCTGTGTCAAGGAGGGGTTTTGTTCAACAGCATTTGGGGGACAATCAGGTTATGGCTTTTTATTGAACATTCAAGTGTTCTGTTTTCTTTCTTTTTTAGGAGCTCAGCGATGCCCTTGGAATCAGTATTGCAGGAGGAAAAGGGAGTCCCTTAGGAGATATCCCTATATTTATTGCCATGATTCAGGCCAGCGGAGTGGCTGCACGTACACAGAAGCTTAAAGTAAGCAAGAGGGCTGGGGATGTGGCTCAAGCGGTAGCGCGCTCACCTACCTTGCGTGTGGCCCGGGTTCGATCCTCAGCACCACATACAAACAAAGATGTTGTGTCCGCCAAAAACTAAAAAATAAATATTAAAAAGATTCTCTCTCTCTTAAAATAAATAAATAAATAAATAAATAAATAATTCCCACTAGTCCAATGGGGAAAAGTAGTCACTCATTGTTTAAAAAATAAATAAATAAATAAAAAATAAAAAATAAAGTAAGCAAGAGGGGGAGTGGATTAAGGGCTGACGGCATGGCACATGATGGCGTGGGGGGAGGAAGGTGCAGCCATGGGGACCTCGTTGAAACTTGGAATCCAAAAGCCATCAGAGATCCGTGCTGAGGGCAAAATGCATTAGAGAAACTTTATACCTGAGATCATTAGGTCCCTGGGCATATAAAAATGTTATTGTTTGTATCAAAGCTTCTCCATAAAAGAAGAAATTGCAGCCCCTTTGCAAACCTCCCCAAACCCATTTTAGCACTCCATTCTACTCAAAATTGGTTTTCAGCTCAGAGAGACTTGACCTTAGAATCTTCCCCCAACCAAAAGAATCAACATTTTTATGATTTTTTTTTTCCTTTTCCACCTTAATCTTAAGTAGAAAAATAAAGCAGAAAATATTTGGCTCCCTCATTAGAGCTTTATTGAACAGTTAATTTGTGCACCCCACTATTACCGGCAAGTGGATGTATGAAACACCACAATTCCCAAAACACAAAAGTGACCTACTGTGCCTTTCAGCAATCAAATCTGATCCCCTTCTTGTTTCTCCAATTCGTCTATATTTGGGGAAAGCCATAAAAATTCCTCGTGCTTCTCTAACAGGCACACACACAGTCGAAACACAGAGTCATCACAATAGCCACAAATGGGAAATATGACTTACAAAGAATTTTCAGCATTCTTCTCAAATTTAATTTTTTTTAATGATAGTGATTTTCCACCACTTTTATATTTCCAGGTTGGAGATCGGATTGTCAGCATTAATGGGCAACCTCTGGATGGGCTGTCTCATGCCGATGTGGTTAATCTGCTGAAGAACGCCTACGGGCGCATTATCCTGCAGGTACTGTGATCAATGGGACGTGCAGCTGCGCGAGGCAGATAAGTGGCTGGCAGAAAAGATTGAGCGTCACTGGCAGTAGGCATCACCGCCCAGCGGGGTGCCTGCTGATGTGAATTATGAAGGTTGAAAGCAAGAAAGTATTATTTTTTATTCAGAAATTCTGTAATGCCACCCGTACAGGCAGTGAGCATGATTATATGAAAGCATAACAAGGGGAGAGAAATTACTCTTTGCTTCACATGATAAATCAACAAGGCTTTTAATTTCCAGCGTTCTTTTGTAAATCCAAGTTTGCAAGAAATAGGAAATGATTTCCTTTTTTATATCCAAAGACTGTACTAGACTGTCCAAATGCTGTTTCTTCCTGTCCTTCTAAAGGAGAAGAAGAATACAATACTGCTTTTCCAGTAGCGTACATGATTGCCAACATGGTTAAGCTCTTGGTGCATGGTGGTCATCAATTAAGGCGGACAGTTATTGATCAGCTGTGGTCCCCACGAGTATTGTCCAGAGGCACAGAGAAATGTACCAGGAAGTCAAAGCAAAGTGTACCATTAATTACCTCCACTTATGTTTCAGCTGTCTAGAGGCAGCATACTGTCAGCAAGTTTCATTAGTGAGCATCCCCAAATATATAGGATTGTAATCACCACTATTCTGCAGAGGTAGTGTAAAATGGTTTATAGGTATAAAAGATCAAAACCCACCACCAGCCATTCAGATAAGTCTAGCCTTAAAATAAGAAGCTTGGATTGAAAACCCATTCCATTTGGGAGAACCAATTTGTGGTGCTTAAGTTTGACGTCTGAGTGATACAGGCCCCAAGTGCTAAGGCAGATGTTAAAAACCGCAAATGGCTTCAGCATGTATGAGGGAAATCACGAAAATACTGTCACTGGTTTCAAGGGAGTTTATGTGATAGACCCAATATTAGTTCAAGGGAATTTATGTGGTAGGCCCAGTCTATTATTTGGGTCTCCAAGTTTCTGTTGAATGCAAAGCAAAACACTGTGTGGACAGGCCTGGTTCTGTTTCTCCTCAACTCCTTGTTGCTGTTCTCACTTTCTGTGGGAACTTAGGTGTGTAGCTGCCTCATAGTCCTCCCTACACCCCTAGAGAACCATTTGCTGGTTTGCTGTACTCCCTTGTCCTTCGAGTTCTACTGACCTCTAGAGGCACGCATCACAAGTGCAGTGCCTGAGCTTCAGAGCTGTCAGTCACAGGGAATGTAAGAGAACATCACCTCCTATGGGAACCACGACAAGGAAAGTCTCTTAGCAAAATCTGGCATTGTGGGTATTTTCACATGCTGCTATAATTTGTTCGGCTCTACCTTGTTCACAAAGAATTAAGAAAACACAATTTGAGTCTGGAGTGTAGTTGAGTGGTAAAGCACATGCTAGGCCCTGGGGGTCTAATCCCAGTTCCCCCACACACATACCCCCCAAAAGATATAGTTTAAAAGTAAAATATTAGCTAAATTTTAAAAGTACCTGAAATGAAAATGAGCTCATGCTAGACATTTTGGCTTACGCCTGTAATCCCAGCTACTCAGGAGGCTGAGACCCAGATAGAATCACAAGTTCAAGGCCAGCCTGGGCAATTTAGTGAGACTCTGTCCCAAAATAAAAACTTAAAAATAAAGGACTTGCATCCAGGCACAGTGGTGCATGTCTGTAATCTCAGAGGCTCATGAGTCTGAGGCAGAAGGATTGCAAGTTCAAAGCCAGCCTCAGCAATTAGCAAAGCTCTAAGCAACTTAGCAAGAACCTGTCTCAAAATTAAAAAATAAAAAGGTCTGGGGATGTTGTTCAGTGGTTAAGCACCCCTGGGTTCAATCCTTGGTTCCAAAAATATAAATTAAAATTAAAAATAAAGGGCTTGGGATATAACTCAGTAATAGAATGCCTGTGGGATTGATTCCCAATACCACACATGCGTGCACACAAATGCACATGCGCATATGCGCACGCACACATACACACACACTTTCCCATGTAGATTTAACACTTCATTTCAACCAAATTGCCACTATTAACATACTTTTGAAAGAGTTCCTTCTTTTTTGTATTTCTGTATTTTAAGAAGATGATGAAGTGTGATTTCAGAATGTTCTCTTGTTAATCTTGTGAGTTGTTTTTATTTTGTAACATGTGCTATTTAAAAAATTATGGAATCCTTTGAGATTTTGACAGTTGTAATCTTCACACTTACGGGTACAGAGCATATGTGCTCCCAAAGGCTTTAGACACAAACCCAGGAAACTCGTGTCCCGCATCCAGCGCCTTCCAATTGCTCCGTGTGTTTGTTTTAATTAAAACTGTGCATGGAGTAATTCCAACAATACAGTTATCACAGCTGACTTGTCATTGGGCAGTTACTTTTATCCTTAGGTGGGCCAGTAAACTGGCAGAGCAGCAGGAAAGGTCAGATAATTGTGTCTTACAAAGCAGTCAGCAAATGCTGGTGGCAACAGGGAAGACTAAGGACTGGGTCAAAAGGCTGCAGGGTGGAAGAGATGAGTGGGAGAGATAGCCGTCATGTCTGAAAGCTTCTCCCCAGAGTTTAAATTGCTAATGCTAAGCCAGGCATGGTTGCATATTCCTGTTATCCTAGAGATTTGGGAGGCTAAGGCAGGAATATTGCAAGATGGAGGCCAGCCTAAGCAGTTTAGCAAGACTGTCTCAAAAAAATAAAAAGTATTATGGATGTAGCTTAGTGGTAAGGATCCCCAGGGTTCAATCCTCAGCATGTAAATGAATGAATCAGTCAATCAATAAACAGTAGATAATTCTGCCCTTGAAGTCTGATGATTTCTTCTTGCCAATTATATATTGATCAATAACATTGATTTGGCCTTTTTAAATGTTCCCAATTTTATTTGCTTCTGTAGTTTGATAATTTGTCTCATTCAATTATTTTGTCTATGAAATTACTGTAAAAACTTTGGATAGACTCAAATAAGCCATACTCTGCTAGAAAATTGTTTTTGTTTCTGTTTTTACATCTTTCTTTAGGACATGGGAAATAAAAGAACATATAAGGAATTTTTTTGTTTTTGTTTTCATGGCATCAGGGATTGAATCCAGGGTGCTCCACCACTGAGATACACCCCAGCCCCTTTTGGTTTTTGAGACAGGGCCTCATTAAGTTGCCCAGGCTGGCCTCCAACTTGTGATCCTCCTATCTGAGCCTCCCAATTGTCTAGGATTACAGAGGTGCACCACCAGACCCAGTGGCATCTGACTTTTTTCTTTTTTTAATCAGCAATATTTTACTTAGAAAATTCCTTTAGGATATACTTCAACAAATAAGCAAAACAGGAATGAAGGAAGCCAGTAGCTACAGTGCTGGAGTGCATTAAAATTTCTGGATGACAGCTATGTGGTAGGCAAAGAGAAAACATAGGCAACAGGAACAGGAGGAAAGGGGGGCTTCAGGAAGGGTTACAAAGGAAAAAGAGGGATAGATTGTCTAATATATGTAACGGGATTGGAAATCCAAGAACAGTTGGAAAGTGTAAGCCTAATGATAAATATATAAAAATAAAGCATGAGGGCTGGGGTTGTGGCTCAGCGGTAGAGTGCTCGCCTAGTACGTGCAGGGCCCTGGGTTCGATCCTCAGTACTACATATAAATAAATAAAATAGAGTTATTGTTTCCAACTACAACTAAAAAAATAAATAAATATTTAAAAAATAAAATAAAATAAAGTATGAGCTAACCATTAACCTTGGGGAAAATAAGTTTATACCAAAAAAGGAAACATATTTATAGTATAGTAGTTGGTGCAGTGTGAATCACATTTACATAAACATTTATAAGTCATCGTGTCACTGAATTCCTAGGCTGGAGGATACTAACCCTGGGGGTCCCACAGGTCAGACTCAGCCACCACCCCTGTCACAGACAGGTGCTGGGGAACACAGGAAAGGAGCTTATTCTCAATGTGGCCACACTCTGACAAAGACCCAGGATCGAGCTCAAGGATACTTAACCACTGAGCCATATCCCCAGCCCTTTTTATATTTTACTTAGAGACAGGGTCTCACTAAGTTTCTCAGGGTCTTGCTAAATTGCTGAGGCTGGCTTTGAACTCATAATCCTACAGCCTCAGCCTCCCAAGCTGCTAGGATTACAGGTATGGCCCATGCTTTTAGCAAAAGCAGCCTCAGAGTCCTTATTACAATAATAAAACCAATGGAAGTAAATATTTTGATGCATGAGATAATAAAAAGATAGGAATTTGTGATGTTTTAGTGGAAGGAAAATACAAGTTAGGAAACAGGTAAAACTTTAAAATATATAAATTATAGGTGGAGGATGTAGCTCAGCAGCAGACTGCTTGCTTAATGTGTGCAAGACCCTGGTTTCGATCCCTAGTACCACACACACAGACACATAAAGATACATAACTATAGATAGTGATATATGTTAAGTAGAATCCCATTCATATAGTTCTACATGTTGTGGAGTTACACTGGTCGTGTATTCATATATAAACATAGGAAAGTTATATCTGATCCATTCTATTGTCTTTCCTATTCCCATCTCTCTCGCTTCCCTTCATTCCCCTTTGTCTAATTCAATGCCCACCCCCATTGTGTGTTAACATCCACATACCAGAGAGAACATTTGGCCTTTGATTTGGGGGAGATTGGCTTATTTTACTTAGCATGATAGTCTCCACATCCATCCATTTACTAGAAGAAGTCATAAATTCATTCTTTCTTATGGCTGAGTAATATTCCATTGTGTATACATACCACATTTTCTTTATCCATTCATCTGTTGAAGTGCATATAAGTTGGTTCCCTAGCTAAGCTATTATGAATTGAGCTGCTATAAACATTGATGTGGCTGCATCACTATAGTATGCTGATTTAAAGTCCTTTGGGTATAAACCAAGGAGTGGGATAACTGGGTCAAATGGTGGTTCCATTCCAAGTTTTCTAAGGAATCTCCATACTGCTTTCTAAAGTGGTTGCACCAATTTGCAG